CCAGGTTGAGCTGTTGTTCACCATCTTAGCTGTAGAGGGCAGTGTCACTGGCCCTCATGTGGGATCTGAACCAGGGCCCTGCTGCACAGAGCTGGCGTCTCAAGCCAGCTCTTAATCAACGTGCCACTTGGCAGGCCCGGAAACATAATTTTTATATGCACTGGTAAATCCAAAATATCCATGTGACTCACTTTATTGTGATATTCACTTTATTGTGGAGCCAAAATCACAGCATCTCCGAGGTATGCCTGTTCTTTATATCATCTCTAGATCTCTTATAATACCTAGATGTCTTATAAAACACTATGTAAATAGTTCTTATACTCTATTGTTTAGGGAACAATGAAAGAAAAAAAAGTCTACATGTTTGGCACAGACACTGCCATTGTAGGCCTAACTAGATAGTACACATCAGCAACAACCTAACATTGTTTTTTGAATATTTTTGATCTGTGCTTAGTTAAATCTGTGGATGCAGAACCCACAGATACAGAGGGCCGACTATATATTACATTTTGTGGTTTTCTTTTCTATCCTTTTATTTTTAAAAATATTTACAACACTTACATAGAAGTCAAATCTTTAGGAATACTCAAAGTGATAATGTCAATGAGATGGCTGAGTAAAATGTCCCTTGCTCATACCCCTCTCCCACCCCCAAACAATTGGCATCCATCCAGGAACAGAAGTGCCTTTGTGGGAACTTTGGGATCCAGGTAGATCGTGAAACCGCTGTGCAGTCTAAGACTGAGGAGGGCCGTTTTGAGAAAGCAGGCCTTCACTCAGGCAGCTGACTCACCGACCATGGTGGAGGCTGCAGACCCAGAAACAGCTTTGTACCCCCAAGGACTCAGCAACAGCCCCATTCTGCTTTGGTTCTGTCACCAGCACCATGTGCTAGGGTATCCAGAAAGAGTCATGTTCACCTGTGCACTGGGTAATAGGTACCGTATTTGCCGGCGTATAAGACGATTTTTTGGCCCTGAAAAACATGCCTCCAAGTGGGGGGTCGTCTTATANGTTTCTTCAGAGCGATACGCCGGCGTTTGTGCTGCAGGACGCGTGGAGTAACAAGACGCTGAATCTTGGGTGCTTTGGTCCTAGGTTTCTTACCTAAAATTTTAAATGACTTAATTACTTATCAGGACCCACACACCTACATTTTAGAAACAGATGGAATCAAATTTGAACTATTCTGTAACTCAAAATACCAGTTAACAAAAATCCAAGATGTTCTAAATTTTGTCAGAGTATAAGGAAAACTGAGAAATCCTTCTAAAAAATGGCCAGGCTAATTCTATTTACTAGGTGCCAGTATTTTCCTTAATTAGCACATGTAATCCTAAGACAGCTCATTAAGCCATAACCTATAGTTTGGATGCCAAGATCATGTAAATTTAGGTTACTTAACATTGAAGTCCTACTCCCAAGATTTTTCTAGTCACTTTGGTTTTCCTTCCACTATTAGACCGTCTTCACTATCTCACCGTGTTTTGAAGTCCCATTTAGCTTGAATCTATTTTCCTGCCAATCTGGGGAACTAAACCATTAAAATTAGAATGTGTGGCATGGTCTTCATAGAATATCTTCATTTAGCCTAACTGATTTATAATTCAATATCCTATGGATTGCAGATCTTCAGAAGTCTTTTCAGATTTAATCATTTTAGTTTGTGGGCACCTCAGGTAAATATTCTAAGACTAAAGGCTCAATCAAGCTATGTTTAAAGTGAGATAACGACCCCTTAATATAAAGACACAAGAACCATCTTCTAAACACCTGTCAACTAACACACTAACTACACTGATGGTATTTCCAAAGGCATAACTATGGGGAACTCCAATATAGCTGCTAATTATTTTTTTAAGTTTATCAGGATAATTTGTCTACATTTTATCTTCAACACTTTAGTACCGGGCACATAGGTGGTGTCCAAACATTTGGACTGAGTAACCAATGAGCCCTTAATATATATATGCCAGGTATAGGGTTAGGTCCTTAGTCCTGAAAACTAAAACCAAACCAATTTTTTCAGATTTCTCAGGAAAACCCAACCTGGACTGATACGCCATTTATTGCATTTAATGAAAACATTCATACATTTCACTGCAGAAATACTAATGTTAGAGCATCACTGCCACAGACCTCCAAAATCCCAAACACCCGTTCCCTAGTATTCTGAATACAGTATTAACCCAAAAGCAATGAACCTAATGTCTGATAAAGTTATCTTTGGATGAACCATCAATGACAGCAAAATTTTCAAGAAAAATGATTAACGCTACAAGACACTAGATATAACAAGGATTAATACCAACTGCATATCTTGGCCCTCTCCAATATTTTCCTAAAAACTCCAGGTCAATAGTTGAGCAGATTTTATCTTCTAATATGCACACAAAACACTACTGACAAATGACTGAAATTTAGCAAGCCCTAAATTGCATATCAACCCTACCTTCTTTGTTTAGGGGCTTTCTCACAACATACTGGCGGACATCATCTTCTTTAGAGAGATTGAAAAGTTTGCGGATTCTGCTAGCTCTTTTG